GAAGCTGCATCCGGACCTTGATGAGATCAAGGGGGTGGGTGGAACAGCCGGCGACGATGGAAGCAATTCCCCCCTCGACAAATCCCTTGAGACCCATGATGTTTTCAGAGAAGGAAGAAATTGAAAAGTGAAATGGAAAATAGGGCCTCTAAATTAAAGAAGCCCGAGGAAAGGGAATTGGGAAGAGGAGAGAATTATAAAGAGCAGTTGGAAACGGAGTTGATATCACTGGAAACCAAGAGATGGGAATGGAGGGCGAAGGCAATGGAGGAATAGTGTGGAACGTGAGGTGTACGAGACATATGCAATTTACAACGCAAAGAATCAACGGTGAATTGAATTTGGGAAATACAGACTGTGGCGACGGAATTTATAGCAATCAACCATCTGCTGCCCATTCTTTAGGAAAGGAAATATCGCCGAAGCTTGCTTTACTTTCCAGCCCCCATACTTTCAATATTTACAATTCCCTCCCCAATTTTACGCGTTTCTCCCCCTCCCCTCCCCGGTCCCACTTTTACTTTCCTTTCTACTTTCTTACCCTACTTATTCTTTTGGGAAACATTTTTCTTACCATAATTGTTAAAATACAATTTATGCACACAATTTTCTTTCCTTTTCTTCTTCTTCTTCTTCTTCTTTTTTGAACACTTCAACTTTCCTTTCATTTTATCGATAAACAAGAAAATGTAATTCCTCTCAATTTCAGTTTTATCTCTCTGTTTTTCCTTTTTTCTTTTTTCAAATTCTTACTCGTGCTCTTTTTTAGTATTATGATTTTAATATGGGGTGAAATTTTAAATTTATTGTTCCGGGTATAAATTATTAATATCGCAAATAGTTGAAATACATTCCTATTAATAATTAATGCCATTAATTGGTAGCATTAATTTTGAGATAGTTTGATGTATATCTAACAACCAACCTTATACCATTTTTAAAAACATATAATTGAATCTACCATCTTTTCTGCTTTTAAATTTCTTTTCTTTTCTTCATTAGATATTACGTCGAAACTTGAATGTATCTACCCATTCCTGTAAATATTTTGATTTGTTTCACAACCATCCATTTTGTCAATCCAAAAAATAACTTATCTCATTACATCTTAATAAATTAATTGCTATGTCATACTTCAGAATTTTGATTAACAACAAAATTATATAATCGTATAAATACAAATTAAATTTCAACCTAAATGCAGTTGTATGGTTAAAATATCAACAACTTTACTTACGCTTAATTGTTTGAATTTTCACCTAGAATTATACTATATTCTAAAATAATTGAAACTAAAATATGTCAATAAAAAAATGGTAATTTAGATTTTAACTTAGAATGCTGCTGTGTATTGATTTTGGAAGGCAGGGCTTGGTCCCTACTTGACCTTTACGCTGAAAAATAATAGGTCCTATTCTTCAAGGCAAGCTATTCTTATATATGAACATATGACTTTTTATATATGTATATAAAAAAAATCAATATTATACCATTTTTAAAGCATATAATTCAATCTTCCATCTTATTTCGGATAAAAAAGTTAAAGGTTCGAATCTCATTACATGTGTGGTTTTTTTTAGTACAATGGTGGGAGATCGAACTCACAACCTCTAAATTGGAAATATATGTCAATTACCACTAAACCATACTCACTTGGCTCATTCCATTCAAAGAAAAAAAGTTTACATTATCATCTCATATTTGTATCGTGAACTAGCCAAAAAAATATATAAAAAAATTTATGATTCAAACTAATTTATTGAATTTTAATTATTTATTTTAAATTAAGAAATAGCTAATTTAAAATTTGAAAGTAAATAATTTATTAATCAAAATAATTTTAAAATATCGAAGCTTCATATTTTTTTCATGCATAACAGCCACCTCCTCTTTTAAGTACCTACGTATGAAAATTTTATATATGCTACTTTATATATGGAATAATTAAATAGAGATACATTATGAGTAAAGTTTTAAAACTAGAGATTAAAAAATTAGTTTTAAAAAATATGGATTTTTTTTAGTAAACCACCTTATTTTTTGAATAACAAAAAAAGTCATAACCAGAAATATTATGAAACGTAATATAAACAATTAATTTATGAAGTCAAATACTATCACTTAGCTGCATCTTATCTTGATTCTAATTAATTATTAAGCTTCTTTCTGAAAGGAATTTTTTTTATTAAATTGTTAAAAAAATAAATTGACTTTTGAATCAACTTGTAATGTATTTAACAACTGTTAGACCTAGATAAATAAATGGGGAGGAGACTGAAAATGAAGAGAGGGAAAAGAAAAGTCAAATTTCCAGCAAAATTGGAGAAATAAAAAATTTGCTTAAAAGAAACAGAAAAAGGATACAAATAGAATAGGAAAATTTAATTAACTTATTTTTTTTAAGTACAACCAACGTAAAATTCTAGTTTGAAGAACAAAATATTTTAATATTAAGCTAAGTTGATGCGGACAAATTTAACTAACAATATTTGTATTTACTATATAATAATGAAAAATCATTTATTTCTTTTACAAAAATCTCGAAATACGTTTTGCATCCATCTATTTTAAGTTTTAGTTTATTTCGATCAATATATTTTAAACTTTAGTTTATTTTAATCCATATAATTTCAAAATGTTCGTAGTTTTAAAAAGTTACTATTATGGTCACTTTATTTATTTTTAACCTTATTGTTTTTGTCACACTTCTAACAATATCCTACGCCAAGTGTGACTTTACATTACATATGATCGAAATTGCCAAGAGATCGTTTTTTTTTCATTTAAATTTTAATTTCCTTAGAAAAGGTTGAACACGTTAAATGAAGGGAAGGGCGCAGGGAAAGGCGCGGGTGTCTGACCGTTGGGCACCGCGAAGTGCCATAATTGACTGGGAACTCGTATCGTATTAGCCTTAGCCCGGTCAAATTTGGGTATTATTAAGTCAAACTTTTCTGTTGTCGACGTGTCGTAAAGTGACTTGACGATTTGCCGCGACGCGATACAGAGACTCCCAGAGATTGGTTCTGTTCTGTTCTAGGGGAGGTGCGCTGACTCAGTTCCGGGCCCACCAGAAGTCGGGTTAAAATTGCAATAAAAAAGATTCGTTGGGCTCCTGCCACAAACTCGGAAAGATTAGTTCTCTTCCACGGGCCCACCACCCCAACGGAAGTTTGGTTAAAATTCAGGAAAAAAATACTATATCGTCGCCTGAGAGATTCGAACTCTCGCGGGGAAACCCCATGTACTTAGCAGGCACACGCCTTAACCACTCGGCCAAAGCGACGCTTGTTGAGAGAATGGTCGATTGTTATTTATTGTAATCGTCTCGTCATACTGATGGTATGTAAACTGTATTGAGGACCAGAATAACTGGGTCTTTTTTCTTTTGTTTTTTTTTTTATTCTGGAGTACAAAGACCGGAATAAGTTGCATGAAAGGGTTTAAGGTATATAACGGTAATTCACCTCCAACCAACAAAAATTTTATCATGAGCTCACCTCTATAAATGGAGATCTCTGTTTCTCACGCAAGGTACACGAAACTATATTTTCTCTCGAATATAGATTGGATTAGTACTAACCAGAATACTAACTCTGTTTTATAGGTCTTTTGTACATGAGTAATTACAGTTAGGTTGTCCACCTCGTTACTTATGGTTTGATTTTTTTAATAATAATAATTTTTTTTTAGTAATTTTGAGGAGTTAGAATATATCAAATCAACCAAGTTTTCTAAAAATGTTCCCAACATGGGCCTATATATAAAGCGAAATTAGTGATATTTCTCATTTGTATAGGTTGTATGAAGTGGTTGTTCATCTAATAGATATATATTTTAGGTGATTGTGTTGGCTACATACAAGATATTGAAAACAAGTGGCTTAGGATTGATAATAGCACAATTTGTTTTGGTTTGCTTTAGCTAATTTCTGATGACATTGGATTAAAAACACTTGCCTACCTCAATATCCAATACTTACAATACTTACAAGTTACAAACTTGGATATAGTGAATAAGTGTTTTTGTCATTATATGAGTTTTAATATGTAGCTGGAATCTGCACCTATAGCCCTCGAAAGGGTTTTGTTTTCATAGGCATATATAATTTGTGGAGCTCAAACTTTTTTATTGTTCATATTTAATTTCGTTTCTAACACATGACATATTAGGTGATATCTTTATCGTATATAATTTCTTTTTTGTTTTGTTTAGTACACTAAGTGGGGTGAGGGATTGAATTCACAACTTCTTTATTGAGATATATACTAATTACTATTAAATCATGTTCGTTTTGATAGGTGATATCCTTACAATATAATCTTTCATAGTAGCAAAAAATATATATGGTATATTGTTCCCAAATTTAATTTTTCTACATGGACCTTAAAAACCTAGCAAATGCATAAGAGGAAAAAAATTGACTGAGCGAGAATTGCGCAATAAATATCAACGAAATTAGATTATTTTTTAAGATAACGAATACAAATTTTTAATCAATAAAATGCGTACAAATACAAATATTATGATCATTAATTAATTTCTCTACTAACTCCAATCCTATGTCGTAATTGAAAAAAAAAATATATATATATATATAGATTAACTCAAGAGTATCTGTTTGTACTTTGTATTCCAATGCTCATTCAAATTCAACCAAGTTGTTTTGCCTTCTATCGCGGTCGAAATGACGTCGTTAATAGGCAAGTGGAGGAATGGACTATTAAAAGGAGAATTCTTCTGGTCTGGAGCCACGTTATAATTCGAGCAAGTAGAAATTAGAATCGTAAGCTCAATCTGATGCCCGCGGCAATTGCAATTGCAGCAGCGCCAAATTGTCGTTACTTCAAGAACCTGAAACTCAATTCACGATTGTCTTCCTCACTGTGCGCATTTGCTCGAGAGAACAAAGATATGGTCACAGCAGCCAGCAGCAGTAGCGGAAATGCGGGCGCATACACAATAATCAAAGAAATTGTGAGATTCGAGAAAGAAATCAAGAAGAGCAAGTTCATTGCAATCGCTGGTCCTGTCTCCAACGAGCAATCTGCATTTTCTTTTCTCTCTCAGGTTTCTTTTGCTTTTCGATACCTTCCATTTGTTCCTCGTTTTCCTTGTCATCTTGCAAATTGTTATCGAGGAGTCTGCGATTTCTATTCCTCTTCAAGCTTTCTGCTTTTCTGTTTGTTGAACCGAAACTGATCCTTTTTGTTTCCAGGGACTCCCGTGTGGCATTTTTTCGAAGTTGGAAATTATACCGTACTTTATATTCTAGATTATTTCATTCAACTGGCAAAGCTATCCGTTTCTTGTGAAACTCGCAATTGCAAACTATTATTATTATTTTTATTTAATTTAGTGGAGAATTTGGAACTTTACCTCCAAATGCGTCCTAAAATCTTTTAGAATAAGATTGATATGTTTGTATAAACTCCACTAATCTGGCCGGCATGAGACTTCTACTGCTACATATTAACTTTTGTCCTGAAACTCAGGTGCGGGATCCGCGAGCCACTCACAATTGCTGGGCGTATCAGGTGCTTAGTCTATCTTTTGTAGATCAATAGACATGCTTTGATGTTTTTCTTGTAAAAGGTTCTTGAAGAGTATCTGTTATAGGCTAGTTCATCATCCTTCACAGTGGTCCAATGCTACACTAATTACATCATCTGTAGCAAGTGTAACATAATTTTTGCTAAATGGCGTAATAAAATCATATATTTAAGTTATGGCATCGCTTTTATATTTTTTAAAAAATAACATATTGTGTGGTTTCTAAAATATGATAGGAAAATGTAATGCTTAGTTCTACTTTACAGTTTTTAAATTATGTTACTTTTGTAAATGAAGATGTGCTGCAGCCTGCAGTGAATGTAATATCATCTTTCTGGTGTGATTCCATCCTCTTTTTGTGTGCGTAAGTGTGATTCCATCCTATTTTAAAGCTCTCAAAATTAGAGTCTAGAGATTTAATCTATCAATTTCCTCATGGTCATATTATTTACTTCAAAACGTAATGTTTGAGTTTTTCAGGAACCACATTATGTCAGCATTCTGAATTATGAACTGTCCTCTAATTCTAATTTTTTGGTCAAGATGATTGCAATAAAGAGATGATATAGAGGGGAGTTAATATATTTATTCCAATGTTCTCAATTCCTTTTGTTTATAACTTCTGCCATAATTCAGGTTGGAGATCAATATAGGTCAAATGATGATGGCGAGCCATCTGGTACAGCTGGAAAACCAATTCACTCTGCCATTGCTTCTTCAGGTATTGACAGAGTCATGGTGGTTGTGATCAGGTATTCTCTTTTGAAATGATAAATATTAGGTTGAAATATGTTTTTAGGCATCTATCTATATGAAAATTTTCCTTGGGGAGAATACTTGCGAATTGGTGACCTAGAATCTTCTTGTTAATGCTCCTGGTTGATTTAAATGTGTATGCTTGCCATGTGCTACGGCTAACTTGATATGATATTTTTTTCTTCTACCAAAATTTTAGGTATTTTGGAGGTATCAAACTCGGCACTGGGGGATTAGTTAGGGCTTATGGAGGAGTAGCTTCCGAATGCTTGAAAAGTGCCCAAACATGTGTTGTGAAATCTAAGGTGTTTCTTCTTTCCTTCAATGTGTTGTAACCTTGTGCTGATAGTATTACTAAGAAGTTTATGAAGAAAATTAACTGTATTAAAACCATTTTAAATTGATTTAAATATGAAAATTTGTTTTTAATATTAATTGGGTTCCATGTCTTTTAGGTTCCAATGGGTGTGGAGGTACCATTCGATCTTTTAGGGGTCCTGTACCACCAGGTAAACTTGCCAATGGCTTAACAATTACCTTGTATCCCTATATCATGGCCCACGGATTTGAATTGTCATTCAAATTTTTTCTTTTTCATTTCCCATATATTAGATGGCTATTGTTTGTAACATGGTCATTGTTTTTGCATTTGTTTCTGCTTGTTTTTCTTCAGTCTAGTTCTCATGTAATAGTCAAAATATTGCAATTACTATTTGATAGAAACATTTTTCTATCATTCGTACAATCACATATATACCATAGAGTGATGATCCTCCAGCAATACAGGTTTTTACAGTTCTTTAATGCACTGTTCTTACTTTGTCGTGTGTTAATAACTATAATCTTATTTCAATTGGCTACAATTATATATATTTTTTAATTTAACAATAAATTTCAGTTTCTCAATGTTTCTTTGGCATCCTTGTATGCGTTTCTTCAGTTCAGACACATGATATTATTGTAAATCTGAATTCTTTGTTGGTGTTTGCAGTTGCAATCTTTCCAAGTTGAGGACATTAAGCAGGATTATGACAGTGGTAAAGATGGAATTACCATGGTGACATTCAAGGTTGATTTCGACCGTGTTGAGAAGTTGGAGGATGCTATCAAATCTAATTGTAGCCGTGAATTAATCTTTTATAAGCGATAAATTATACAGCTAATCTTTGTACATGAATACACAAAGAAGGAAGATAAATCGGTATGAAGACGAAATCAAGTAAGAACACAATTAATGGTGGGTAGACGTATGAGGTAGGTGACTGATGACTTTCTACAATTATTCACGTTGCAGAATAACCTAGATAACCTTTGTAAAATACATTCCCCATTCAAATGAATATTTAGTTATTTACTGCCTGTTTCATTTTCATATTCCTTCATTAACCTATATGCAATGGTACTGGCATAGAAGCATCATATTTCGCAGAAGCACGAGGCAATAAATCCTAGAGGATTTGATTGATGATACCAATTATCAAGGAAGCTATGCCAATGGAAGGATTTGTTTCATTTGATCATGGTGGGGTGGGAAGCAATAATTGAAGTGGTGGAATGGACGGTAGGAATTGGAGGGTTTGTTGTTATAATCCATCCTTAGGTAATGCTGTATTTGGGACTGTTTGCGGTGCTGGGTTTAATTGTGATATTGACTTTCGCTGATCAGTGGATATTACTATGACCAGATGTAGGTTGAAGGAAACAAAGGCAATATATCTTTAGGGTGGAGCCGGCACTGAGGGTCATGGACGTAAGATGGAGCGAGGCGGAAGTAGGATTATTGGCAGTTTTGGCGGTGGCTATGATGGTGGTGGTCTTAAGCAGTAGCTTGCTACTAGCCTCGTTTTGCTGCTTGGGGGAAAAAATTGCAATTATGCTTGACAAGGCAATCATTTGACGGAAAAAGTTGAAGTGCTCATTCACTTACTCAACGACTATCACAAGAAACGAAGGGGCCTTATTTATTGATACCTTTTTCCCTAGTACATAAGCAACAACAGTACAAGGCCGTGAGAGAAGACCAACGTAGCAAAGAAAAGCAATACAGAGGAACAGAATGCTTAAACAAATCCGACTCAGATGCAAATTGCGGAGACCAGGTGACGGTAATATAATATCTTAGAGTTATCGCATTGCCAGAGCTAGTTTATGTACTTCATAGACATTGTATCAGGATCTTCAGATGGGTTTAGGTACTCTGAAGGCTGAGGTTTCTTTCTGGTGGGGACTACAGTTGGAACTGTAGGATTTTGCTTGATTCTTGAACTGCGGGTTTCAGGCATTGTAGGATGCGACTGTGTTTTAGGTTATATGGTGAATAGGCTATAGTTCTTGCAAAGTAATGGCTCCTTGGAGCTGGTTCGGTTCTTTAATAGCTGTATTCTTTGCAAGAACGACTGCAACTGATTGTTATTTGCAGTCATTTTTTCCCATTTCATTTCGAGCTTCTGTTGCAATTTGTTGGACACGAGCTGCAAAACCCGACATCAGCAATAGAAATAGAAATGACAAATATCAACAAAGTCGACAAGAAGTAATGCTTAATGGAAGCCATTATATGTTGGAATAGAAGGACAAGGATCTGTCAAGAGCTAGACATGTAGGTTTAGAATTCAGATGAGAGTCTTGTGTTGAAGAAGATGAGATTTTGATGCTTATAAATAGCTTCTGAAAACAGACGGCAATGGCACGGTGATGACCGATTGTTATGCTTGTGAGAACATTGAAGAACCATTAGAAGAGCTTTGAGTTAGTTTAGTTGTTTCCTTGCTTGGCCAACAATCTATTAGAATTAGGACAATAGGTCATTGATTTAAGACCACGCTTGATCAGAATTACTGGATGAACCCCAAATAGTTGTAATAACAATAAAGAGAAAAACCACTCAGGAACAACAATTTGGGTTTTTTTCCCCCTCAGAATTGCTTCCAATACTTTCACAAGGGCACTATCTTTTCCACATACTCCTCTTAGCAGCTAATGGATTTTCTTTTAATGAATAGTGATAGCCTAGTGTGGCTTAAACAGACATGCAAATCCAAATATTAGAACTCATATCGAATGAAAAGGCAGCAGTACGAGAACTCAAGAAATGAGATGATACAATAATGATGTCACTGTAGACAGAAACCTTATGACATATGAACTCAATCAAGCCATTACAAGGAATGAAGAAAACAAAACAATGGACAAACACACAGAAGTATGCGAAGTCCAAGAAGAAAGGTAGAAAGACAGCAGAGAGGAATGGAGCTGCGATGCCATTAAACTTCAGGAGGTGGTTCATTTAGATGGAGGCGGCGAAAAGAAAGGAATAGCCGGCAACGCCACGGTTGTTGGTGTGATAGGAACTGAAGGAATTGTTGGTAATGGTGGCAAAGGGAGCAAGGTAGCCTTTGGCACTGCTGGTGCTGAAGGCAGTGGAGGCAGTGCTTGCAGGGTTGGCGTTGGAGGAAGCTGAGGCAAGGCCTTCGGCAGCGGTTGGATCGTAGGAAGGGGAGGCAATGTCGGTACAGATGGCAGCGGCTGTAATGATGTTGGAGGGAATGGCAGCGGAGGAATTGGAGATAAGGACGGAAATGGAGGTGGAGCTGCCGGAGTATCGAGAAGGCGACAGCTCATGTTGGTGCCTGTCAATGACAAGGATACAAACAATATTATCTTCAAGCAAACCTTGAAAGCAACCATGGTTGAATAAGAATGAGACAAGCCTTTTCAACTGTATTGATTCAGCTTGTTGACTTGAGTTGAAGGAGCATTGGGCCATGATGGTTATATAAAGACTTTGAACGTTGACTGTTTTTGAGTTTGATGGGATTTGGTTGGGGAGAGAAGAATGAGTTCATCAGCCTTTTCTGAGACCGACCTACCAAATCTCTTTACCAAAAGAATAATACTTAGGTACTTACGGTTTAACACTCATATTTTGTTGGTCATCATTAAATTTTTGACAAGGAGAAATGCAGAAAATGATACCTATTTCTTTTAAACGGTCAAATCTTTATTGATGGTGTCTGGTAAGCATGTAGATACTGTTCGTGGTAAAGAAGTCCTAAATTTCGTGTCCTAAATTTTTAGAAAATGATGCATGAATGTATCGGTACTGTGTTATATCCATGCCTCATGTCAGTAGATGTGTTTCTTAGATGGTACTCGAAGAAAAACAAGACATTTTTCGAGAAAAAAGGCATTCTTGTTAGCTGCTGGGGGCTGGAGTACGCCAATCATTTCTCGGTTTTCTAGCAATCCATGAAGGCCTCCTCATAACAGCCTCCAAAACCCTCTTAAGCACCCCTGGTCCTTCTTTGGGCCCCTGCACCCACAAAGCAAATCTGCACCTTCCACCAACAGTCACCATCTCAGCTCTTACCAGCTTCACCTTCACCGTTTTCAGAGCTCTGCTCAGTTCTGCCATTATGTCCTGCCTGTCCTCACAGCTCAGTACCGCCTTCACCATCCCTTCACCACCATCACACTGTTCTAAGCTCAGCCTATCTGCCCCACTGGGTAACCCACATCCCCTGGCTTCACGATTGGCTGCTCTCTTCTCTGATACAAGCTTCTTAAGTTCCTTCACCCTACGGATTGTCTCAGCAAGCACAAAAGCCTTTTTGAGCTTACTCTTATCCGTCTGTGTCCACAAATCATTTCTTTTCAAGTGTCAATGCACACAAAGTTTAACGGTGTGAGCTCTTTAAGATTAATTGAAGATAGATTTTTTAGAGGGAGTTTGGACTAACTTTGGGTAGGCTGGGGAGGATGGCACGGAGGGTGGCATATTGGCCGCTGATTCTGTTCCTTCTGTTCTGCTCTGCCAGCCGGTGCTTCTGGGCTGCATGCAATTTAGGCTCTTTCCTTGGCAAGGATGAAAATGGACTGTAATGCTTGGCCGGCGGAGGTTGTCCCAGAGGATAGATCTGTTGCATAGTTCCTGAAGTTGTGTGGCTCTGGATGGACTGCATGGCCTGTTCAAGCTATGAAAACCACACACAGATTGCAGAAGAAAAAATGGAAAGGCTCGTGAGTATCAAAACGGAAAAGAATACAGTGTTGACTGTTGAGTGGTGTCTGTAATAGTTACCTGGTGCAAAAAAACCATGGCGTATCAAGATTCGCCTTACACCTTACTGGAAGGGGAAAGAAAAGCAATAATTGCTGCCAACTACGACAATCGAGGCTTTTTTATATGGGGAAATTCTCTACTTTTAGAGAGAGTGAGAGAGAAGCAATTAATTGCTATATTTCTGTGTGATTAAGGAAGATTATGTAATATCAATCTCATAACTGCCATTTACTATGCATTTTGATTCTGTATTTATGATGATAAGATAAGGATACTCAAAGTGCTTTAACCAAAATCACACGTCACCCATCCGCATGACTAGAATTTACCAATGGGTTAGAAATCTTTGGAGACAAGGCATGCTCTATCAAGGTATTCTGGTTGAGATGAAATATTTGAAAAGAAGAAAACAATGGCTATCCATTAAAAATCCAATCCAATAAAGGTCTACCACAAGACCCAATACTCTGTTTCAGGTAAATTGCGATAGTGAAGCTCTTTTTATCCCTATCCTGGTTAAAGTAATCCATTGAATCAAGAGAGATTTGTGAAGTTACCAGTTCATAATCTTCCCCTAAAATGATTAAACAGTACTCTTTCTTCCCTTTGTAATCACTACTTATCTATGTATGTTCCAGTTGGAAGAGCCTTTTTTTAAGTCAATTACCTTTTGGGTCCTTATCAAATCTCTTTTCATTACATAAATAAAAATTCTTTGATTATAACTAAAAGGAAAGAAAGATGAATAAACGAGATTAGCAAGTTGGAGAGAACTTACAAAGCGAAGACCTCTTTTTGGTACTTCAAGAGAGAGTTTTTCCAGTATTCTATTCATTCACCAGTTTCCGACTGTACAAAACAATTTGGGAACGAACAAAAGTAATCTGCACTCTAGATACAATGGTCGCCATTTCCAACACTAAAGCTAAATTGACTTTATTTTCTCTTCCGTCCCATCCATCACCAAAGATTTGGTAAACCAACGAAGATATCATCATCGCCTTCAATGTAAGATTCCAGCTCGCCAGATTTACTCTTCCTCTTGTGTTCAGATTCCCCGTTGAGTCTGTCCTTCGAATGATCAGCCATCGATTTACCTTCATTCTCAATCTCACGAATTCTTGATTGCAACTGCTCAATCTCTTGCTCTGCACGATCATCTTTTTCAATGCTATCCGATTGCTCCGGCGAATTTTCACAAAACTCATCAATATAGCAATGGCCTGAAGTGCCCTCGTCGTTCGCAATCACCCTTCTCCGTTGTGTGGTACTACTACCATCATCGTCCTCAAGTTTATAAACTACAGTAGTGTTACTGTTAACATCCGCCATTATTTCTTTATCAATCACAACCGCTACCGGTTCATCGGAGTAGCAAATTTGAAATAATCTAAGACAAACATTATACTGCTCCTTTCCTTCCACCAGCGTAGTCTGGGGTAGTGGTCCATCAATGGCGACCGCATGAAAAGCCCTTTCACAGTTCTGGCACCGGAGACAGCAGTCAAAATACTCTATCTTGTACTCGTAGATATAATAGCAATACGGACAAATTGTCCAAAAGGTCTCGACACCGTCGTTCACATTGTCCGAGTTCTCTTTTCTTTCCAGCTTATTTCCTACACTTTGTTTCATCGTAGTCTCCATTTCGCACCGGATGCGGCGGCGCAGAGCTCAGTACTCCAGACGGTGGTTCTCGACAGCGGAGAGAATTTGATTGCTCCCGAGAAAATTGAGGTCTATTTCAGCAGATAAAGAATCGTTGGCTGAGAAGATTCGAAGAGAATTCTCCTGCGAAGAGAGAGCGATCGTGAGAAGAAGGAAAAGCAATCGGGATCCGAACAGGATAAGGTAAATCTTTGAAGAATTCGAATACGGCGCCAGGTTTCTTGGAGCGCAAACTTACTACTTTTACGTTTGCTGCTTCTTCTACGGCGTGATTCCAGTTCAGGTTAAATCTTAAGATAATTTCGCGCCAATCCATACGACACCGTATTGCGCCATTTCAATTCTCAAGTCATTGGCTTGGCCCCTCTGTTCTTTTTCTGAAAAAATAAAACAAAATCTAGAATATCTCTAGGAAATAATAATATTTCCCAAATTACAGAAACTCGGTGCATTTTTCAACTATGATATTTTCACGCTGCTTTTTCCTACAAAATAAAAATATATTACACAATAATACGATTATTCCTTTTTCCATTTGGGTTTAGATAAATTCTTTTCATACGAATAAATCTATAGATCCCACATTCATACAACAAAAATTATGAAGTCATAGTAGATGGATGGAAAGGGAAGTTTTCATCAGTAATCAAGAGTCGCATGGACTCTTTAGATTTAACTTAACAAATCCTTCTAAAAGAATTCATATACGATAATGTAAGAGGATCAATCCCAAAGTTGGTTTTGAAAAGTAAAAGCCGGATCCTGTGGTGAAATCCTTCTTCAGAGAACCAAATGAATCTGAAAGAATAGCCAAAAATAAGTTGATGCTCTTATCTACCCTCGTTCGAGGTTAGCATCTTTTTCCGTAAAGCAAGCACTATATGTGCATAGGTTACTGTTGTCGCCACGATAAAGACTCCGATCAAGACGCACACAGTCGTAGCACATGCGTACAAGTACCTGGAGAAATAATGCAAATCATAAGTTTAAACATACAAGGTTCAGTTGGAAGTTACCATTTAAAGTACAGCCCTGAAAGCTTTACATGATCTAGGTAGTGAATTCCTTTTAAAAGATATAGCACATACATTGTAAAACATAATTTAACTAGAGCAGAACATCCATCCATATGGTTTGATAAAGAGATGAAAAGTGCTGAAAGTCAAATAGAGACTTCATGAGGACTTACTTTGGAGAGAAAACACTCCAAACAAAGAGATGGTTCCTCATTAAGATCAGTACTATTGTGTAGGCCATCAGCAAGATCGAATTGACAGTAAGTGGAACCAGACACGGAAGGCCAAGAATCATCTTCAGAACGTGCCCGGAATCTACATTTTGAGGAGGGGCAGCAATGTCCAGATTTTTAATTGAGATATACATTACCATACTTAGCAGCAGCAGGGTGGGTGATGCATAGGTGATGATGAACATCAATATGCCAGAAAATAACGTTGAGTAGTTTGAAATGCCCTGACAAGGATAAAATCCGCATAACTAAGATAGGCTTGTAATTGTTTGGATGAAGTTCAAGAGTGCATTCACAAGTAATTCTGTGGTGCACAAGGGAGAAGAAATTACAATGAAAGCTCCAGCAACGTCGATTGTAGCTAGAGAATTACTATTCCCCAGTGCAAAATGGCCAGCCATTCCTATATAGTACAACACAGCAACCTTTAAAGCAAGAAATAACCGTCCAGGATTAGCATGCATTTAAGTAGCCACAGATGCACAGAAACTTTGAAACTATACAAAGTAAATAAAACTGGTTTCTAAAGATAAAATTCACCTCAACCCACTGCTTCCGCTGCAACATCCCTTGAGAAAAGAACAGAAAGCTGGCCAAAATTTGCATCAGAATGAGTAACATAACTGCTGAGTTAATTGGTTGTTGGAGCAGCAACTGCAAAAGGCACCAAGACCCAACGTACACGCACCCGATAATATATAAAGAATCTCTCAGTTCTGGATATTGGGACTCGCTCCCAATTTTAGAAGGATGAGAGATTGAAGAGTTGTGATAACTTGAACATGTCTCGGATAGCTGAATAGGCATAATCCATGGGACAGCCAGAACCGTCCCGACTGTAGTAACACCAAGAGTTGCATATATCATTTGTGCTAATGAAGTAGCAGCATTGTTGGATGGTAGTGACGCATTGTGTTCAGATTTCACGATATGATGCAACACTAGCAATCCAGACATCAAAAAGTTAAATCCAACCACTAGAACAATTTTCGTTCTCCTTCCTAATAAAGATAGAGATAATAAGCTAAATATTATTGTAAGGAAGACAGAGGCTAATTGAATCAACTGAAGATCACTCTCTGACTGCTCAAGCCATTTGGATATGTCTGGAAGATATGTCCAATTGACACCTCCTTGGTGCCAGCCCCTTAAAATTCTTCCACAGATAAGGAGGGTAAAGATGGAAGATGCCCTTAAACAAATTCTTCCGTGTCCATTTAACAAAGCAAAAGAATCACAGGCGCTTCCTTTTTGAAAGAACTGCACTGTTTTACGAAGCAATAGCATATTCAATGTTGAGATCAAGAAATGCCAAATATATTGCTCTTCTTCAACCATGGAACTCGATCCCATACTGATAACCAAGATGAATATTACAGCTAGGGAAAAAACCTCATCGAGATGCCAGGGAAGGATACCATTGGATAATTGCTTTTCTCTTAAACAAATTTCTTGGATAATAGAGTAAATGACGGCAAAAAATATCAGACAAGATAGGGTCATTGACACCACTCCAAAAGCAATAACTTTAGCAGGTTTCTGAAAAAAAAAACAAAAGTGAACATTCATAATCAGCAACAATATCATTCTTAAGTGATCAAGTATTACATGAAATATCTAGAGTTTGTTCAAAAATTATGATAACAATTTAAAAACAAACAGATAAACTTCTTACGTCAGTAGCTTTGTGTAATAACCATTGATTTGCATTTATCAGAAACTCATAGTATGCCGCAATAATTCTACTTTTGTCTTCTCTGCCATCAGACCTGTTAAAATTACTACAAAAAGTTAATTTTTCTGTTCCACGCTACAAGATCTCCAAATAGATGATCTTGTGCCCACCTGGAAAGCTCCGTTGATATCCAGGAATCATGAAGAACTGCAGCACGCAAATACAACCGGCAGAACTTCTCCATACTACCATTACTATTATATCCTTGATCACCCGAAAATCCATCGCATGGGCCACTTCTACATGAAAAACTAGGTACCTGTTTTTGTAACAATCTAAGCAATTGCCAAGAATTCAATTGCAGTGCCCTCAGTTGTTGCATATCTGTAACCATGCAGAAAGATATACCACAATAAGATTACACAAGTTGACAGCGATACAAACTCCAAAAAGCACAGAAAGCATTCTCCAATCTAGCTCTAGATATTATTTGATAAGAGAATGTGGGTGAGTAAGTAAAGGAAAAAGCAGATTGGATCACTACAGGTTCAGGTAGCAGGTTTATCCACTAATGTTCAAGGCTTTTGAATGGAAAATGAATATTGCAATCAACTCTTTAACAGATGAGATTACATCTCTACTTTAATATCCAATCACTTTTCTTCTCAAACGGCCCACTCTCTCTCTTTCCCCTGTTCATTTCCACAACTTCATTATGATTCTGAAGCCAATTAAGGCCTCGTGCACAGGGAGGGCGGCATTTACCCTTAAAAGAATCAATCATTCCTGGAATCATGACGCCAACATTGTTGTGGGGAATTGGCACACCAAATAAAAGAGCTAGTGTTGGTGCAATGTCAACCTGAAGCACATTACAGGAAAGTCAAAAAATAAAAATAAAAAAGACCATTCAGACTAAACAGATATATTGGTTCAATACTATCAGGCAAGTACTTCCAGTCAGAAAAGTAGACTGTAGAAGTTCAAAGAAATTGGTTCAAGCTATCAGTTTGAAGAAATGACAACTTTGTTTGAATAAACCTACAGGATTTGAGTGTTATGAACAATAATATTTCAGACAAAGCTTGAATTATAGAATGAATATTGATGCTTTAGTAATTAAAGATTTCAATGCATAATCTTAATACAAACCTGAAGACATTGCACAAGTTTAGGAGATGAATACCTGGTTAACACCATTGCTGATAACTGATCCAAAGTCACTGGCCTGACTTTTTGATCCAATAAAAAGAAGCAAGGAATCAGTCTCTTCATACGATGACCCACCATGATTGCCATTTTCAGTCATCCCATGGTCACTCACTACAACCTAATTTGAAGTTCAAAAGACGATGATTATATAATTAAATTATTTGCATGATTTGAATTTATAGTCTCACAAACAAGCCAGAGGAATTTATATCCCATTTCTATTTCCAGGGATACATGAATAGTCATTAATCAGGAAAATATTGAAAGGGCAATTAACTTCCAAGAAGGATTTCAATCGCTAGCCAAGGAAACAAAGGTGCCAAAAAATTCAAGTGATAATTAAGGCTCTGGTTTAAATGAAAGTTAGCAACTTTAAGTGGATTAAAAGGAATGTCCATCTCTTTTTGCTTCTGGCTTCAAATATGCATTTCTTTTATGGCAATTACTTCCGAGAAATATTTGTATCACCTTTTATTTCATGGCCCACTCATTCACTTTTTTTAACACACTTAGTTCTAATCTTTGAGGCGTTCTTCCAAAGAAATCTCTTCTCAGTATTCAATTTGGAACTCGTATACAAGGCAGGGAAAAGATACTTCGAAGGTTGCTTCCATGTCTTTGTTTAGGGAGTTTGGTGGAAAATATTTTTAAGACTTCCATACATCCTCTAGTAGAACATAACAAGAATTAATGTTTTAGCCTCTCTTTTGGTGAAGGAGTTTCCATCTTAAGGACTCCAGGAATTTTTGTCAATCTTACTAGTTGTTAAATTTTTATATGAAATTTTAGTTAATTATTGGAAAGGAATGAATGCCTATCGTTAAATTACAAAAACAGCACACATCAACTAGACATGTCAACCGGCACTATGAACTTCTTGGCTTATTCACATCCTAGAAATGCATATTTATTACATGACGAGTTTCAAAATGATAAGACAAAGTCAAAGGAGACGAGAAGGTGCCACAAACCAAAAGCGTCCTCTTTTTATCATCTGGATTCATGATGGTACTAGAATGAATCATCTTCACCACTTCATCCATTTCCATAAGTTTTGGGGCCATTAAGGGACTGAAAAGATCAAACATCCAAATGAAACTTATTAAATAAAATAATTAGATATAGCAGAAGTTGAAAATTTTGAAACTAATAAATGCACCTGTTTCGACCACCAATATGCCCAACATGGTCCAAACCTAGATAATGAAGAATCTGAAATGAAACTTCAGTTAGAAGCTCTTAACAACTGCCTTTTTATTATGTCACAGGCAAATATTATTCAAATAATATGATAGAAGACTTGGCATAAAGATGAAACAGGCTACACAAGTATTTTGCAAAGTTAAAATAATTGACGCAGTACATATAGAGATCAAATGCAAGTCAGAATTGCATAATTTCACTGTGAGGCAATCAAATGTACAGATTACAATTATGAATAATTGCACTGGAGTAAATGTCAAAAAAATATATGCTTAAGTTCACAAAGCCAGGATAGTCGAGTAACAAAGTTGCAAAACTCAAACGAAAGAGGTTCAAAGGAAAAAAAAACTATAACCATCTCTAACAGACTACAAATAAATAAAATCATCCACCCCAAGCTGAGGGACAAAGACCCCAGGCCTGCCCAATAAGGTACAGATTGAAACAACCTACTGAGTTTATAAAAATACACACACAACTGTAATGACATTAAACAAAGCCTATGAATTAAACCATATTACTAACTAAATTGTAGATCGTCTTCTATGCTAGTTCAACTTTTTTGTAATAGGCATTTGAATTACATTGCAGAAAAGATCAATATGCATATTGACAAGAAATGGAAGATACCATTTAAATACCCCAAAATACGTTGACAAGAAAAATTGAAATGGAAGATATCCTGACTACTAAAAACTATGGTAAACAAGAGAACGTAACAATTGCAAGGAACAAACAACTTACTCAGCAAGCAGACACAGAGTGCAATTCGGGTTTAACAACACGAAGAAAAAATCAACGAAAAACAAATGTTATTGTCATTGCACACACGTGAAAAGAAATGGATAAAAATACCCAAAATCAATTGACTTACCAGAAGATCCCAGTCATTCTTGCTAAGCTCATAACTTAAATGTCGAGAAACATTTTTATCTACCTCTACAGTATCTTTAACCTGCAGAAATAAGAAACTTGAACATGTATACCATACTGTAAGTCTATTTAAAAGATAGTACATGATCGTAATTAAAAAAAACCACGGAAGAGTATGCTTCATCAAAAATTTTTAAAAAAATATAAGCAACAATGAGGTCTACCAGTTTTAAATTATTTTTAACATAAGAAGCTTAAGCTATTGTATTAGAGTTAACTTAATCACGTCCTCTTGTCCCTCCTTCCACGAATGAGCTCAGGTTTTACTTGAGTCCAAAATGCCTCATATATGTGGGATCATACCTTTCTAATTTTTCTATTCTTTCGATTGGAAACAAAGCTTTCATTACACGAGAAATTCTTTAAAAAAAAAAAAAAAGAAAAAGAGGGAGAGATAAGGCAACAACCTTGAGAGGCCAAGGAGATTCATAAAAACCCACTCCAATCGGCTCATGAAAAAAAAAAGTTGAATAATTACAAAATAGTTTGGTGAGTAATCATAAAAAGATCGAGTAAAGTTGTCAAGTCCCAAATCCCAGCAACATTATTGCTTCTATCTTCAAAGTAATCTTGTCATTTCTCTCCTTCCATATTGCCCACAGATTTGATTTTGCTGCGTTGAACCAAATCACTTTGGATCTGGTGTCATACTTTATTTTTATGAACGACATCATTTAGAGCTGAGCAATAATACAACAAATTTTTTAACATAGAATTCATTCAATCATTCAAATTATTTCTTCACAGGAGACCTGAAAGCATCAAAGCAACAAACAATTTCCAAGTAAATTGGTAGTATCAAACAGCTTTCCATTAATTAAAGAGATGGTTGGTCTCACTGGAGAGGACAGTTTTGACCAGCTTCGTTGCCACTAGTGGCAAAGTGGATTTTTATCATCCCTTCGATTAGACTAGAAGCTTGTTCTAAAGGGTTCACTTCACTTGTTAGGATAGGGGAGAGAGAAGCGTACAAGAAAGCCCCTACTCTTTCATCGCATTCTCCCACTCTTTCAGGCYCTTAGCTTCTTCAAATGAGCTTGGATCTTCCTTATGTGCTTCCAGACATGCCAAGCTCCACATATTCTTGTACGATCAAAAGGGGATCGAAAAATTCTCTCTCTTAGTATCAGTTAATTAACTTAATTGTGACTCGTGAGGAAAGTTTCAAAGAATCCTCAGGGACTTAACATATGAGCATCAGAAACTCAACAGAAAGGCTAAAGTCAATTAGTAGATCCTTAACACCTTCGTGCTTGCACAGCCAAGGTCACAAGCCCTCATACTAGATAACTATTTCATAGTTCCATGCATAAAAATGAAAACTACACTCGTGATATTTAAAAACTATGAGACTACAGGAAAGGAATCCATTACACAAATTAAATGTAGGAACTAGGAAGATTTAAAGAAGTGGTGTGCTATCACACATGCTCTAAGAATACAGTAAGCTGATGTGTGAGACGTTCATTAACTACTAAGCTATAGAACAAAATGTTTCACTTTGGCTTGATACATCCAGATAGCATGCCATTGGTGACATTTTGGCTAGCTGGCTACTGGATCCCAAATAAATAGAAAGCCAGATAAACTACAAATCTCCATGTCCCGGGTCCAAGAGTCCATGCCAGTGAGGAATGAAGACATTACGGCAGTAAGACCAGAACACTGAAGTTCTATAAAGGTATGAAGTAGCATGCAATGCACCAAACATCATCCATTGTATGTAACATCAAAAGATTAAGGTATCATACTTACGAAAAAACTGCTAACTCCATCATGCCTAGTAAAAATTCCTGGAAACAACTTAAGCCATGTTTCATCTCCGCACATCACCATTTTCCAACCAAGTTTAAAAAACTGACCTATAATATGTAAAAGCGATTTCATTTTCATAATTCATATTCATAACATGGTTTACATATACTGAAGCTGCACTAATTTACCAAGAAGATTGTCATCAAGTAGAACTTGAGTGTTGAAATTGAAAGCCACATCAAGGAATCCTCCGATAGCACCAGATACGATCGCCTGCAATCATATGCAAATAGATAAGGTCCGTAGACTGCTGGCATCCGGCATACCATTTTTGCCACAATAATCAAGAATGAAGAAACACTTACCTTCAGACGGGGCATCGTAACAGTTGGAGGTGCAGCCTTTGCATGGTAACCTTTTGCAACTCCATTTGCCAACAATGATTGAGTGTATGGCATAGATTCCATAAAGGCCTGGTTTGGAGGCCGTTCATCTTTTCCAAGCACAAATTCTGCTGGAAGACCATCAATTACCTAAACTGACATGTTCGTTATAGAAAGAAACTGTTACATTAATATATGCTGGCCATGAAAAACCACATTTTTCTGCCTGTAGTTCACATACCATTAAAACTAGTCGGTCAAATAAAGGAGGAATGTCCGATAATTCCTGCATGAAAAAATTGTCAAGTTAGATTATGTTCTCACTAATCTTGTATGCATTTCAAAATTAAAAGACCAATAGGAAAGGGAAAAGATAAAGAGTTAAGAGATAGAAGCTATTTTTGTCCCCCGATGTATTTCAAACCACATATTATATTACAGAGCAGATAATAGATATTCAATAATCAACAGCTTCCTCTTTCATGTCATGGGATTTCTTTTTCAAACTATTTTTATGCACCCCTAAGGATTCATAATGAGTTCGAAATTACTGAGAGAGACTATGATTTTCCCTTAAACTTGTCCTCCTGTCCGTTGACCATGGGACTTTTTGAAAAGCTTAGTGATCTAAATAATATCACTCTCAAGCCATTATCATCTATATTTTAGCTCTATTGCAACCGCTAAATCAAAACAATTTCATAAGAAATACCAAGAACTTACAGAGGATTAATCTCTTGAATAAGATAAGAAACACGTAAGTTGGAATCTGATAATCCTAAAACCTTACGTAATTGACACTAGAAACGTACTAATTCTTTTTGTTTCCTAGAACCACATCTTCGAGAGTAGTAAAGGTGCCCTAATTAAGAACCAAGAACAGGCTGCTATAAGCTTACAAAGTGGTTAGAGTCTAAATAAAGTTTGATCCTACTATAAAAGCAATCCCCTCCATATAGTTAAATTCAATCAACCACCCTTTTATATATAGCCTACACAAGTTCAAGCTCAACCAGGAACGTAAACAATATGACTGTATCAAAAGAAGTAATATCTTCGGAAAGGACCTGATATAGCGATTGGAGCTCATGAGGAGGCAGATCTTTCTCACTCTCATTTCGCAATGAATAGCATGTGGGCGAACGAAAACTTTCCGAACCACTGAAAAAAAAAATCACATTTGCGACGTGTAAACCTCAATAGGAAAGAATTAAGTAGGTGCTTTGAAACACAAACATTCCAATCTCCATTGCTTCAATAACCATACGAAGTGAGCTCAGGGTATCAGACCAGCTGGTCCAGCTTAAGCTTGCTCAATTACATCAAACAATTCTAATTCCGAAGCCCAATAGAGACGTAGTTACTTTCAGAAGCTCAATCTTTTAATAATGCTATCGTTTCGTTGCTCAATGATCAGAAAGAGAACTGAATAGCACCTGTCACCGGATAGTGCTGGTTTGACGGGGAAAAACCCGAACACGAAAAACGAGAGTCCAATGATCTGAACAGCAACAGCTGCCACGGTAAACAGCGTTAGCCTGTTACAGGTAAGCGAAGAAGACATTTTCGGGTGGAAGAAGATGAAACTCCACTTCGAAGCGTTCCCTGCAAATCTCGAGCCGAGGAGCCTACGATAAGCAAGGGAAATAAAAGAAGTTTCGGCGGCCGGCCGAAATTTCTAGGAAAGACGGTTTAATTCGTTTCCGTTGGTCGTCGGATTGGACAAGACAAAACATATACCATTTTTCCAAACATTCAGAAAATGTGAAACCTACTAAAATTTTTCGCATTTCTTAATCACTGCAATTCTTTAAACTCACGAACTTTTGGTCGAAAATAAATACATTAATCAGTTATTTTCAAGTACTTCAAACTCAAACATTCGGAAAATGTGAAATATACTAAAATTTTTCACATTTCTCAGATATAGCAATCATTCGAACTCATGAACTTTTGATAAAAATAAATACAGTTATGGTAAGTTCGCAGCAGCCAATTTTATTATTGTACAGAAACTACACATTTATATAATATTTGAATTTGAGATGGATTTAAATTAGATTATTGTTGTGAACGTCCTTTTTCTGGCTCAAGTTGTAGCGATGCTCCTAAAGATCACAAATTAAGCGGAAGATAAAGAAGGAAGGGCAATTTTACAGAGAATTTAAATTTTAATAAATTCAAAACTTTCATTCGTATCGACATTGAGATAATATTTTCAGGGGGAGTGACATTGATGATTACAGTCAATTCGACATGTGAGGGAGATGTCTACAAATACAGAGATTTTGCTGAGAGCAACAGGACAACATAAATTACAATGCTGCTAAATTTGTGGACAACCTCAGGAGTTGTTCAAAATTATGGGAACACAGGCCAGGCAGCAGCATGTCAAAGCAAAAGAATGGACATCCAGACTTCGTATTCATGATCTTACATCTTTCAAAACTCCCCCCTTCTCGAGCTCGCCAACAAGATCCCTTAACGATGGGACTTTCATGGCCAGAGTTCTGTATAGTCGAGAATACCGAGCTCGGGTTCCATCTGCAGTTCTTGCCAATGCAAGCAAGCTCAGAGCCTCGGGGAGCTGGGAAAATACCTGCTTGATATCCTCCAAGCTCATGTTTTCTAAAACAGATGGTCTTGGAACAACTCTCACAATTTCACCACCTTTCGGTTCCTGTACACGGGCGTCGGCCTTGATAACCAATTCTGAATTTGAGTTTGCACCACACTTGATGATAAAAGGTGTTGTTGAGCCTGTATTGAACTGCAGGACGTTCCACTGAGCTACATCGGTTTCCGTGCCAGAACTCGAGTCCATGGACAGTCTACGGTTGTGTGATGTCGCTTGATAGATGTCATCTTCTTCTGGAGTTAACTGCAGTAAATAAAATTGGAGAAGTCATGCAGTGAATAGAATTGCTGAAATATATAGGCTTCAGCAAATAAACTACATGAAATCCAAGATTTGAAGCAGTCATGCTCTAGAATATTCTTATTTTACATCGAGATAACTAAAATTGATATCTAGAAGAGTAACAAAAAGTTGTCTAATCGGTTAATGTTCTATCTAAACGGTAATATGCTCAGAGAAGATATGGAATAAGGTTTCTGAGATTAAGAATAAAATTTCTAATATTATTTTTATGAATTATTTTCAAAATTGCAATAAAAAGAGAGATTTTACATTGTTTGGCGATGTTTGAAAAAAACCAAATTTAAATTGATACAAAATCCACAATAAAAGTAGAGAATGTCTTTTAAGAAAAAAAGTATTGGGATTAACCACTATTTGGAAATGGGAGTTAACAAAATCTAGTCACTAAGAAAACAATCAACGACAGTAATTCTTGATTTTGAAACAAGGTCAAAATCAAGTCATTCATAATCAACATATAGTTCAAAAGAATTCAGACAAGCTAGTATTCGATTTAATTTATTTTTTTAGTCTAAAAGAACTATATTATAATGAGTGACAAATTGCCACAAATCTCTTGCAGGGATTCCCACTCCCACCACAAATATTAACAAATGGAGATTTTCCAACCCTACTCTGTTGAAAGATTTAATAGTTCCACATCTATACCAACAATTACTTTACTCAAATCTCCAAACAAGAAGAGAGTTGAATCGAGTTAGAACTTATATCTAAAAAGATTTCCATACCTCAACTATCTGACGAGCATCTGTAATTTGCCTCCTAGCACACGGATGATCAATCTCAAGAAGAGAAGGCATCTGTTCTGTAAATTCATCAAGAGATGCAAGCATAGCTTTTTTCTTACTTCTACTCAAGGCATTCACAGAGGCTTGTCTTAGAATATCCTGTTCAATAAACATCTTTGTAAATGCCTGTTGACTGACAAAGAAACAAAACAAGGGAAAGCAAAAGACATTTGTGTAGAATATTACCTTCGCTTGCTTCAAAATGCCATCAAGGGAGATGAGAGAGGCAAGTCTTGCATCTTCAACAGCAGTAGACGGATTTTTGATAGGTGAACCACCATCTTCCAGCATGAGTAAAGCTATATCATTTTTCATTTGTTGTAAAATCTGACCAAAAAGGTCTACGTATCAGAACATGCTAAAACGCAACAGAGAATGATGAAAGTTACATATATAACAATGGAAATTTAGCATTTACGTAAGAAAATGCTATTCAATTTTTATTATTCATTTGTGGTAAAATCTGACAATAAAAGTTTTGTGTATCAGAATGACAGATTATGCTAAAATATAGCCAAATATACTGAAGAATGTTACATGGATAACATTGGCAATTTTGCATTTATAACTATAGTATATTTGCAGAGTAGAATCAACGACATGGAAGAACCGGACAAATAATGGAAATGAGAGAGATGGGTTTTATTTCTTGCCATACGTGGGAATGTTCTCTTTAAGTGGTTAAGCTTAAAACAAATGATAAATTGTCCAAGTATATAGAAGAGTGAAACTGAAATCATTCCTAGTACTTAACATGCAAGCATGGAGGTCGATTAAGATATGAAGTACCTTTCTTCTTTTATGATCGACTGACTCAAGAGCTGATCGCAACTTTGTAACTTGAGCTGCATCTTCTGCTTCTTCCATAGCCAAGGTACCAGCAATGTCCTGATAAAACAGAAAAATGTAGTTAATTTCAAAGATATCGTGGTCTGATTACCACCTCCCTATCAAGGTTGCAAACTGTACCAGATGAGTACAGTGGAACCTAAGATTTATTATCCAGGTTCTAAACTAGTCTGACTCCATAAAAAAAAATTCATCAATCTTCATCCCAGTGAAGAAAGGATCCAACGTTGAAGTTGCTACAGTATGTGCAAATTATAAAAATTATATTTGATCTGCTTAGATGAAAACTGGAAGGACATGGATGTGTTTATATTTTCCAATGCAGCGATCGTGGTAGAGTGGCATTATTTATCTACACAGATGACATTGGGCCATAGTTTTGAGTCTTCCTTTTCCTTTTTCTATATTCTTTTTCAAAAAAATTATAAATATGAAAATATTTAGTGACTTTGAACTCATGAAATATTTAAGAACCTGGGCAAGTAGTCAGATGAACTTTGAACCAACTACCAAGAACAACCCAGTTGAATCTAAATGACTTTTCAGCACTGAGTCAAGTTTGATTTATTGATCAGAATTTGGTCACAATTAAAAAATGAGGTTTGGGTAGCTGATCAAATAATGACTTTTCTTGACTTTAGGAAAGGGTTTCATCCTCTAGTAAGTTGAGGAGACTAAACTGGTTCCTATTAGGGCATGGGTTCGGCATTGGTAGCCTGGAAATGTTAAGCTTAGTGGGTAGATTTGGGGTGTTGTCATGCTTGGAATTGGGAAGCTTGTGTTTAAGGGCAGAAATGTGTAATTTGGGATTGAGTAGCCTATGTTTGGGGCGCAGAAATGTGTAGCCTTGCTTGAGTTGCCTTCATTTTTCTTTTGAACTATTCAACCATTTTACAATACTGTTTCATTTTCTGAAAAAAATAATAATAATAATGGAAAAGATGGTGAGTAACTCATGGGGTGACATTATTCAAACCCCATGGAATTATGTTTATGAAGCCAAGGATGCCCTTAGGATGCGAAATCCATCACATAACAACCCCTCCCCCTAACACCCCCCTTAAAATTGAGTGGATCAATCAATCCACACTGTCCCTGATATCAAAGAAAAAAGTCATACTGGATCAAATAACACAACTTTTGACCCAGAAAGTTATCTTAAAACCAAAATATTTTAACTATCAATAACAAGGTGAAAAAATCAACCTAAGCATTCATTAGAAATAATTGACGTGTCAAATCAGTATCAAACTTAACAAGTTTCCAGAAACATTTAGTAATGAGACCAAGCCTATTTCAATATCTCAAGTTTTTTCAAGAATAGGTTCAAAGAAAGAACGAACTGCACCTTCAAGTGCTGCAATTGGGAAGAATAAACTCGTTTTGTATACTCGGAAAGAAGCTGGCCAAGAGCATCTGTAGAAGGAGGCATTGCAGCACCAAGTCCACCCATCCAACCATCCATGATTGCAGTTGACAGAAGTTCTAGCTGACCGGTTGTTCCCCCTGCTGCATCGTCTCCAGTAATGGACAAATATTCAAAGTTCTCCACTAGCCATGACCTAATCTGACGCTGCAGCTCACCAGCTGGAGTGTGTACAAATAGAGCAGCCAAAGCCTTATTTCCAACAGCAAAGCTTTTTGCATCCTCATTAATTTCTCTCAGTTTTCCTGCTGTCACTTGCAGCCTCGGAGAATCCTGTCCAACACAGTTCGAAGTAATAAGCACTACTGCATCATAATAATATATAATGGACTTCAGCAAAATGTAGAAACCATTCATTTCTCATGTTAAGTGGCATGTGAAATAGAATATAGAAAATTGACAGCATATGAACTGGGGGAAACTGAAGAGAGCATGATAGGGGCATATATTCATATTAACTAACACCATGCATCAGATATGTGGGAAGATATTAAATAATGACAGTAGCACGACCTGATCAAGACCCCGAATTTTTGATACTACTGATGAAAACCTGGACTTTTTTTCTGGCTTAAGATTCACTTTAAAGCCTTGGATTTGCTCATCAAGATAACGCACTGGAGATCTTCCCGGACTGTTACCCCGGCTGGAGCTTCTACTGCGTCCAGTATTTGCCTTTTCAAGAAAACACTCAACAGGAGAGACCTGCAATCAA